CAAAAAAATCCTCTGGGACTGTGGGCAGATTGATTTTTATAACGTGGGTTCCCACATCAAGCGGAACATCCGGATTACTGAGGGTTAAGTAATGTGTGCCGCCATCGAGTAGTTTCCTGACACTGGATCGCGGGACGAATGGCCATCTGCGCCAACTGATCTCCTGTTTCAAGATGTCCTTAAAAAGAATGTCGATGTTGAGACGGGCACGCTCCAATAAATCTTGCTGCCAGATCTGACCGATAGCTCCAATTGCTGAGCCAAAGGTGGCCAGGATAGCTCCTGTAGACAAGAGTGCGACAACGTCCTTTTGCGCCTCTGCGTGCGAGAGAGTCTTGTATGCGATCAAGATCCCTAAAGCGTATAAAACTACGACAACCCCGTAGTGAAGCCTAAGGTGGTTGAAGGCCATTTTTTGCGATGTCGATGGGCTTTTAACGGGTTCCGTCATGTTTTTTAGCTTTGTTCAACGGTTGTAATTGACTGACTGTTTCAAAGCATAACTGTGCCACCTTTGGTGCAGGCGCTGATGAATCTTCCAGATCTTAAAAAAGCTATACCTTGGATTTCTAAAAACCTGTATGATTTGGACACTTTGCAGCGATGCAAACGGCCAGCTACGCCCAGTTAGCCTGTCCAACCGATTCACTCGGCTGGAAACACGAAATCCTTTATGGAGAATCTTCAATGGGTATTCAACCCGTAAAAACCTACACGTTCGACGTCTCGCTTTTCGCGACGGTCGACGTCAAAGCCAAAACCGTCGATGAAGCGCGCGCGCTTTTGAAGGAAAAGGTCAATGGTGCTTCCTGCAACGCAGGCACATGGCCAACTGGCGAGCCCATCCTTTTCGAGCTGTCGATGGACGATGGCGATTCACCAAACACTCTCGTTTCAGTGGATGGAAATGCTGTATGAGCGCAGTCATCAATCCGGCTACCAAAATCTACGTGTCCGTCGACCAGGGAATTGCAACACTCCCAAGCGGTCAGGCCGTTAACCTCCTGGTCGTCCAGGAAACCCTGAACAATGCTTTCCAGGCTACCGGGGAAGATCAATACAGCGCCGCTGCCAACAGCATTGCCGACATGACGGGGGCATGGCAGGAAGCTCATGGCGACTTCGTTGCTCTCGCAGCATTGGATCAGCCTTGTACTCTGCAACTGCCGGGGGCCTTACCCGACCTTCGCGGTGTTGACGCCGGCGATGTCGATGAATGGCTGGACCTGATATCGCATGGCCGCGTGAAACGAGGAGCAATTCTCATCTTGGCGGCGGACGCGGCAAGGGCGATGACGCCACTGGAGGCTAGGGCCTCCTCGTCGGTGAACATGGGTACGGCGTATGCGCTGCACAAGCATGATCATCCAGCATCCAGGATTCATGCGTCAGAACCTGTCAACTCCAGCGTTGCTGCCATTTTTCTTTGGCAGGGGATCGCGAAAGACAAGTTCGAAAAGTTGGCCGAGCGACATGGCGGCCAAATTGGCGTCGCAGACTGGGTAAGTGAGTTCGCGACACTGGTCGAGCGCAAGTACCTCACGTTGCCAGACGATCTGCCAGGAGTATTTCATTACGAGGTGGCGGAAAGTATGGGGCGCTGGCTCGGCGAACAGGATAGTCCTACCAGCGAGGCGTTCAATGTGGAGCTGGACAGGCAGACACAGGGTTTCCTCAACCAGCTCCAGGTATCCGGATAGCCGCGTGGGGTAGCCTCGGAATCAACTTGGCCACAGCCCGGAAGTTCACTCTTTGAACCATCTTTGGTACAAAGCGAGCAGACAAAAAAAAGCCAGCGCATATGCGCTGGCTTTTTTCATTTGTGGGACGGGAAATCATGTTCCCTTGCAAACTGGGATAAGTTGCAGGCCGAACATTGGCATGTCGGGCGCTGGTCGAAACGTTTTGGTGAACGCGAGCGGGGTATTCCGCAGCATTTCGACTTGAACGTGCCAGGCAGTGAGTCCGTGGCCGGTCGTCAAAGCTACTTCGACTTGGAGCCATTGATCGTTCAGGCGGGTCACCTCAAGCACCATAGTTTTGTCGCCTCCGATGTGCCGTATGGGAAGAGGGGCTGCGCCTTTGAACGACATCCAGTAGCCGCCTTCTTCAAGCTGGGCAGCCAGCTGGTACTGGTAGTCGTCGCTGCATTGTGCTTCTGCATGACACACAGACTGAATAGCCGCAAGAAACAGTAAGCACAACAGCCTTGGACACACCAATCCTCTTGCGAAGTTCAGCCTCATCAGCGGACGCTGGGATCGGTAAACCAGAACAGCAGACCCATCAGCGTACTGAGGACCGCGGCGCCCCAGGCAACAGATCCCATGATGGCAAAGCTGATGTCCCCGAGGGACTTTGCATAAGCGATCAAACAAATGCCGGTCACGAACAAAATCGTTGCCAAAATCCACAGCAGGAGCGCCAGCGGATTTCTTTTCACTTTCAGTGGCGAGGGAGCGAAATTCATATGAAACTTTCAAAAAATGCCCGAGAGCAGGGAAAAAGATAGCTGGATGAGGTATCAACCAGCACAGGCGCTATAACGCAGCACAGGCGATTCAAAAGAACAGTGAGATATTAGCAGATGGTTTGTTTCGACGCCAGCACTTGGATGGCAGCAACTGAATCGGTGCACGTCAAACCCTTCAAGTTAAAAACCTGATGATGACAATGAGTTTTTGCGTACATACCGGTCCGCGATCTTGCCCAGTAGCGAGATATCTTCACCCGTCCACTCTGGCTTGCAGAATGTCTCAACATAGCGGTCCGCAACGCGCTCAGGGATGCGGCTGGGTAGCTTTCTAAACTCAGGCCTCCCCAGCAGAATCGCCGCAACTGTGGGTGCCAGGTTAAAACCATTTTCAAAAGCGTCCTTCGCTTCGTGGCCATTGCGTTTGCGAAGGTGTTCCAGACCGAGTGCGTAAAAGGCCATGGGTTCCCACACACTCGCTACCCTGGACAGCAGGCTCAATGCGCCCGCGTCTCCCATCAATTGAACAATGTGCGCCTTGATGAACTTCGCTTGTGATCCGTTTTCAACATCAAGGGCAAGCGTCCTGTTGGCGATGCTCAGTGCATTGGGCAGATCGCCTATCCACACCTTAAATGTTGCGTACATCGCCGCACCCGTCAAAAATGAGGCATTGCCCTGTGATGCACTGAAACGGAGTTCTTCGACCTCGCTGGTCGAGAGTGCCTGAGTACCGATATTCCAGAGTTTCAGCAATGGCGCTTCGACTTTCTCGTAGGCGTCGCCTGTCAATACAAGAGAAGCTTCAGCGAACTGGGCGCAAAGATATTCCGGATAGTCGCGCGAGATCGACTTGGCAATATCCAGAAGCGAGGTTTGGATACGCGCTGCTTTGCGAGCACTCTTTTCAATGAGCAAAGTGATCGACTTTTCGACATCCTCAGGTACGCCAGCGCTACCAAAACAGATCGCGTCCATTTCCCGGTTCAAGGTAAGTCGTGAGTGTCTGGCCACGCCTGTCCTGTCCCCACGTTGAATATGGGTGTTCGGCTGAATTGCGTCCAACTCAAAGGTGACAAGTCCTCCAGAGCTATGCGTGCCGTAACTGTCGTCTTGAACTTCCATGTGACCACAATAAATAGATATCGCGCCACCACTTTCCGCAAAAACCATTGATATCGCCGATTTATTCTTGTCACTCAATTGGAGATTCGGCCGATGGGTGCATAAGGCTTGAATTTTGCTAAGCCTCTTGCAAACTTGAGACCTCGCAACAGCCCGTCAGCCCGCATGTCCGCTCACCAAGTCCCACTTCCTTCCGTTCCGATGAATATTCGTGATATGGCGCGCTGGGCGGAAGCGCGCGGGATACTCACCCACCTAGACGGGGCTGGCCAGCCGCAGTCGCTACGTGCTGTATACGACATTGGTAACCACCTGGTGGAAATTGTTGGCAGTTACGAGATTTGCCGCGCATACATGCAGCAGTTATGTGGAACTGATTTCGCGATGAGACATGCCAAGACGTCTGATGGTCGCTATTTGCGAATGGATGCCCTGAGCACTATCTGTGAAGAAATGGACGAGTCTGAAGGGGAATCCCAATGTATTCCTGAGCAAGCCTACATCAGGGAGTGGTTATGAGGCGTCCACGCGACAGCCAGCGCTCGCGGGTATATGCATGGCAGCGCACCCTCAATGGTTACGACTGCCCACCTGAGTGGAAAACCATTCAGGAGGTTTCAGCCTGGGCCGAGCCGGTTTGGCGGACCGAACGAGGTCGATATGGGTTGGCCAGGAAAGAGGCTCCTGAATTCGTTCCTGCAGGATGGGGGCAGCGTCGGGCTTTGTCTTACAGATCCCACAAAATCAGTCTCCCGCTTTGGGCTCGGAAGCGGTCTGTCGTCCTTCATGAAATGGCTCATCGGCTAGCGCCGACTGGAGAAGCTCATGGACCACGATTTGTTGCAATATTGATGGGGCTTCTGGCACGGCACGCCGGCTTCAATCTTCTAGACATGATGGAGAAAGCCGATCAACTGGGCGTGAAGTACCACGCACGCAGTGTTGGCACCGTACCCGTTCAGAGTCTTACCGAGCAGCTGTGGGCTTTGCTACCGATCTCTGAAATGGACGCCGCTTGCGAGCTCGATGTGAGCTGGCGACAGGTTCGAGGTGCGTCGATCCGCTTGCTCACCCATAAGCGTGCGCGATGGCTACGCGGCAAGCTGGTGCGTTTGACCACCACACAGTCTGCACCGACCTAGATTTCAGCCAAAAACACCTGATTTCCAGTTATTTGGCTAATTCAGCCAATTTATCCGGAAAGAACCTGCGCGTCGCAGCACTACATTGAACCTGCCTTCCGTCGCCATGGGTACTGTGACATCCAGGAACCATTGAAATTTTCGTGACCTCCTTCAGACTTGATGAATCAATCACCGCAGACAGAAAGATTCAAGACGTGTTTAACCTTTTCGAAGACACCGCACAAGTTGATGCCCCCAAGGAGTCCGGTTGGGTCGCAATGGCCTTTAAGCAGACAGTGAAGGCAGCGATGCTGGTTGCCAACCCAGCGCAAGGCCCTTTTCCCAAACTGCCAATCAACAGCGCTCCTGAAATTGATGCAATGATCGCGAAGAATGCGGTGATTGCGTTTTCCGTATCCGGAGGAAAAGACGGTAACGCGGCCGCTATTGCTACAGTGGCCTACCTCGACAAAATGGGCCACACAGGACCTCGAGTGCTCATTCATGCTGACCTTGGTGTGGTGGAGTGGAAAGACAGCCTGCCATGCTGCGAACGGTTGGCGGAAAAGCTTGGTCTTGAACTGTTGGTCGTACGCCGGCAGGCAGGCGACATGATGGACCGTTGGGAAGGGCGTTGGAGCAACAACGTCCAGCGTTTTGCTGATCTTTCCTGCGTGAAGCTCATCCTCCCTTGGAGTACGCCAAGCATGCGTTTTTGCACTTCCGAGCTGAAGTCAGCAATTATTGCTTCTGCACTTCGAAAGCGCTTCCCAGACGAGACCATTGTCTCGGTCACTGGAATCCGAAGAGAAGAAAGTGCCAACCGCGCGAAGATGAATGTTTGCGGCATTGATGCCCGACTCACACGAAAACATGCAGTAGGACTGTTCTGGAACGCCATTATTGATTGGCACATCGAACAAGTCTTTCAGACCATCATCGACAAAGGTCTCGCACTTCACGAAGCCTACACAAAATACGATTCCAGTCGTGTTTCATGTGTCTTTTGCATCATGTCAGCAGCAAAGGATCTGGTCGCTGCAGCAAACTGTGAGGACAACCATCAGATCTATCGAAGAATGGTTGAACTCGAAGTCACCTCGACATACGCGTTTCAAGGTGGCAAATGGCTGGGCGACGTTGCGCCCCACCTTCTCGCTGCCGATCTCGTAGAACGCCTGCACCAGGCCAAACAGGTTTCTGCGCTGCGACAAGAAATCGAAAGCAAGATACCTAAGCACTTGCTGTACTCCAAGGGGTGGCCGACCTGCATGCCAACAAAGGAAGAGGCCGAGCTCCTGGCAGGAATCCGAAAGTCCGTGGCTGGGCTCGTGGGAATTGAAATCCAGTTCACCACTGCGGAAACCATCCTTGAGCGCTACGCGCTGCTGATTGCAACAAAGGCACTGAAGGATGCAGCTGCTTCAAAGTCCATCGAGAAAAAGATTGAAGCTGAGGAAAGAGTTTAGTCATGGCTGAAAAAGGTGAGCGGAGGGCAGCGCAGGTAGTTTCTTGGGTGGTCGTTATATCGGCTTCCTTCGGGCTCCTTATTAGCCTGGGACTTGGGCTGCTCGGCGCTTAAATACAAAGGGAAATCTCCAAAGGTCTGTACTGCTCCCAGCGCCATTCGACTTTAACAATACGGCCCCAGGCCATAGACAACAGAAATAACGACTAAAAGGAAATAGTAATGAACGACGGCCTTCAAAGAGATGATCAGCTTGACAGCAGCGTCTCCATAAAACCAGAAAAAACGCCCTTTGTCGTTGGCCCTGGCATTGTCATCAAAGGCAATGTCGTGTCAGAGCTTGATGACCCCGATGTTCGGATGCTCGTACTCGGGCGAATTGAAGGTGACATTTCGACCAAAGGCATTGTGCAGATCGCCAAGGGTGCCGTCGTCGCAGGAAACTCCCTGATCCAGGCAGGCTCAATCATTGTCTCGGGCAGCATTTGTGGTGACGACGTCACCGTACGGGCCCAGTTGCTGGTTCTTCAGAGCACTGGCCGGGTGACTGTCGGTAGCGTACGTCTGCCGCCAGGCGGCTTGGAACAACAAAGGGGTAGTGTTCTCGAAGCACGTCTTCACATGTCTGAAGCTACATTCTCGCCAAGTGATGTTCTCACAGAACAGAAAATACACGTCGTGGGCGATACACCAGTTCATGAGAACCATGCCGGCGCCAATGGCCATGAACCCGTCATCGATGCGACCGCGCATTTGACTTCAACCGCTATTGCAGGCTGACCCATGCGAAACAGCCACAAATATATTCTGATCGGGCTAGTTGCTGGGGCTTTTTTCTCGGGCCAGAGCTGGGCTACGCCAGCCACCGACCAGGCGGATGGAACGGCACGCAAGGCGCTTGAGCTCAAGCAGTACACAGAGGTGCTCCGGGCGTATAGCGGTATTGCGCCACAAGATCTGAATGATCAGTCTTTCTATCGCCTCGCGATTGCTCAGCAACGGCTTGGAAATGCTGCAGACGCTCGAAATTCACTGGCGATGGCGCTGAAGTTGAATCCAAAAGGGTCGTTCGCTTCATCACCTGAGCGACTGGCGCAGCTTCAAACAGCCATCAATGATGGTCTTGCTGCCTCCGCGACAATTGAGCCAGCCAAAGCAGAGTTGCCGGCGCCAACACCCGCCGCAGCTGCATCAAGTGTGGTCACTCCGCCTCCGAGTTCCTCCCCCAACGTCCAGGTGTCTGACGTGAAACCGGTGTCTATACCGATGGTTCCGGACAGGTCGCAAAAGACCCTCAACTCAGGCGATATCGCGCCAGTCATATGGCTTACTGCCATTTTCTTGATCCTGTTGCTCGTTTCGTTCGTCGCAGGGCTCGCTATTTCCAGTGCGAGGAAACTCAAGGCCATGCGTGTCACCGCAGAGAACTCCCTTGCCGTCAATAAATCGCTGAGTAAACAGATCGAAGGGCTGATGATCAATCACGCAAAGCCGGTGAGCGATGTAGGTAACCTAGTAGCACTGCGCGAAGAAGTTTTGAAAGTGCGTAGACTCATTGCAGCGGCCGGGACTGAGAATTCAGCACTGGATAAAGCGCTTGAAAAGCTTGAGCCTATGGTGGTGATGGAAATTGGTAGAAATCATTTTCGGAGCAATCGTGACCCCGCCTCGCTGACGACTGCAGACCAAATGAGTCTGGAGTCAGTTGCAAAGCTTGAACCCGCGGCAATGCTGCTCGATGCAGCAGATCCAGAAGCAGTTATGGGTTACCTGTACGGCGGCCCCGGGCGCTTCGCTGCCGCTCTCAATCTTGACGGCACTGGTACAGTGGTCCAACCAGCGAGTCTCCACAGATAGCAAATTTCGAGACCGTTTTTCTTCGCAGTCACCGACGCAAGTTGCGTAGGCGCAATGTAATGGCCTCTCCTGCGGTAGAGGCCATTTTGCATTGGAAGCATGGAGACTTGCGCCGTGATTCTTTCAAAGCGTCATCTGTATCGCTTGTCACTCCGAATAATCAAAAATCCTGCGACATAATGGCATCAGCTGTAGAAAACAGCCCGTGGCTTGACTTTGCCATTCCCTTGAGATCAAAACTATCAGGAATTTATGCGTCCCCCAGCCAATATCATTCGCCAGTGGATGAAGGAAAAAAACTCCTTTCCGGTGCGCGGACTCGTCATGTTGCATGTGCCCGGAACGGGTTGGCTGTGCAACATCGAAATTCTTCGGGCGAGAGCCAAAGAAATCGAAGATATGCCACCGGAAAAAGCGGCATTCGAGATCGCACTGAGCGCAATTTTTCGCTACATCACCAGTACCGTGTACACCGGCGAAAGCATTCCGGTCGTCACGACGCGTGGCACCGAGCTACTCGTTCCCACCATTGCCTTTGACATGGCCCCTTTCCTCGTGGACAAGGTGAAAAAGATCCTCGCCGAGGGCGGCGGTGGCATCAACGTCAACCAGGTGGCCATCGCACAAAAATTCCTTGCACGGGCGACGACAGGTTCTGCCAAGGGTGCGGAAGCATATGGTTTGCCCAAAGTCGTCTCTGGTGCGCAGCGTATCAAGCACCGGCTGGAGTACGAGGCCAGGCTGACTGCTCAGCAGATAAAGTCTATGGCGCGCCGGAGGAAGCTGCTCGCCCGTCATTGGCTCAAGCAATCGGGTGGAAGTTTTTATTACCGAGGTTTGGTGTTCTCTTTTGATTCCCATGGTTTTTGGGCTTTCAATATCAATTCTGGGCACGATCAGGTTGATCACAACAGCGAAGATCAACAGGCACTCGAAAATCTCGCATTTGCCGTCAGCGTTGAGGCCGTCCAGAAATACACCCGAGCAGTCAACTTCGAGCGAGACGGTGAAACCCGTCTGAAACGTGACGAATCGGAATTTGATGGACAGGTCCGCGTGCCAGCCGAAGTGATTGAAACTGCGTCGCATCGCGTGGCCAAGCGATTGTTATCGCTGATGAAGAAGCATCAGCATGGCGTTCTTAGCCATAAAGTGATTGAACGCGCCCTTGTCATCGCCTGGGACCCACAGGACGAAAAGCCGCTGGACGAGTATCCCTTCCCGCTTGCTCCGACATCCGACTTCGAAGCGATTGATCGGCAGGCTCTGGACCGCATCAGCGAGTTGTTCAGCCGCAAACGTGCAAGAAGGTTATTGCGCGACGAACAACCACAGGCCCCCATCTTTGTCGACACGGACTCCGAAGCACAACCAAAATTGGCGACCTCTTGGCGCGAAGAGTTGGAAATCGATGACTGGGTCCCACTTGATGAGCCAGTCGAGGACGATGAAACGCTCGACCGCAAGGCGCTTGAAAAGGCCGACCACGACCAGAGTGCAGCTTTGCGCCGAATTCGAGGCAGCGCCGGCGGCCGCATCATGCCTGACGACACTTCGTCACCCGTGCATCACAAGGTGGATTACGCGGGCCTGCCAAAAGATGAGGATTGACTAGTTCAAAGGAGAGTAATCGTGGATCAGAGCCAAGTTTCAGTCCAAAGTAGCCAAGCCGGGGGAGAGTTCACCGACGCAACAGTGATGCTCAACCAGTCATGTTGTCGGCTGCGCATGCTTGCGGCCAAGCTCGGAGCCAACTTCGCGTTGATCGACACCGTTTACCAGAGGGTATCTCTGGGCGGTATGGCGCGCCAGTCCAGCACGCTAGTTGCGGAAGTGTTGGAGGAGCTCGAATCGTTGAAAGGCCTGTGCTGGGCTGCAATCAACTCCGAATGCAGTGAAGGGCTAAAACTCAGCTTTGAGGAATGGTCCAAGCTAGGCGTCGAGCCGCCTGCGTGGCTGCGAGAAGTGTTTGAGACTGCCATCATTCTTTCAGCGATGCCAGACGAAGAATCGTTGATCAGAATTGCCCAGGGCAACCAGGTGCTGGTACTACGCGCTCCCGATCTGAAGGGAGCGGGTCTTTTGCCCCAGGTTGCTGCGCTCATGCCTGCTGACTTTTCTGTTGCCGCCACGAAGGTTTGGTGGCCCTGGGTCATGGGAGGACAGGTTCCCGTGGTACTTCAACCTACAGAGCGTGCAAACGTGCTGCAGGAGGTGTCGGCAGCCCAATTCCTTGAGCAGTTTCAGCAGCCGGCCGCAACTGTCGAAGCCTGAGTGGTCAAGTTCGAAGATTTACGGCCAACGCCTCAGCGGGAACAGCGCAAACCCGGCCAGAGCCGGAAAAAGGTTTTTTGCCTGACCTGTGGCAAACCCGGCATCTACACCCAGGTAGGACCGAACCGGGCTCCTGCCTGGATTTGTTCCGATGACGTATGCGACAGCTATGTCGGTTGCCACCCAGGCACCGAAAACGCTCTCGGGCACTTGGCGGGGCCAGAGTTGCGGGCCGGGCGCTTGCGCCTTCATACCTGGATCGATCGCCTTTGGCGTGGAAAGACCTCGCCAACCCGAAAAGAGGTGTACTTGGTGCTCTCACAAGTGATGGGTGTCAAAAGCTTCCACATCGCACATGCAGATCTTGAAATGGTTGCGAGACTGGAATCCCGGCGTCTTGATGTTGAACGTGCATGTGGTCGGTTGCCAGATCCAAAAACAAATCCACTTCTCCAGTCATCAGAACATGCGTTGAGCGAAAAACCTCTTGAGCAAGCTGACTTGGCTGACCAGGTCGACCAAACCCTCATGAAGGCGCTTTTCGGGACCGCGACTCGCCGTCGCTGGCCCTCGGATCCCGGTGGCCAGGTTGCCGCGGCCCGCTGCATCCAAATTGGTGCTGCACAGAGCTATGTCGATGGCGCTGGGCGCCGATGGATCTCAAGGACATCGCTACCCTCGTAATAGGTGCCTTGAGCACCCATTGCCGGATAAAAGCCTGATTTGAGCCATTTATACAGAACGTCGAGCAGTTTCTCCCTCATAAAGTCATGGAAGGGCATTTGCCCCGTTCAACTATGGAGTGACCATGCGGCTTGTGACATTCAAGGTGGCATATCTGCCGGACTCTGCCAGTATCACCACGGCAACCACGTGCACCATGAATATGGAGCGAATCGGATTGATATTGCCGCTCATAGGTGATATTTCGGGTGCCAATACTTCCATCACGATTGATGGTCGCGAGATTCATGTCCCTGAGACCCATGAAGAGGTAGTAGCGATGCTCAACAGTCCGGTGTCCACCGTCGACAAGAGCATCGGGAAAAAGCGCAACACAGCCGCTTGAGCGGTCTAGCTCAGCAAAAAGAAGATGAAGAAGATTGGCGTTGTCATTTCGGCACAAATTGATTTCGATTCGAGGCTACAGGACCGCATGGGACCAATGACCGAAGTGGATACTGTTTCCAGCATCGAGCTTGCTGCCGCATGATGGCCTCGCTGGCATCCTTCATAGGCTGGTGGATGCTCGGTTGTCCAAACGCCTGGCCGCAGTACTCGCGCTCGCTTTAAAACTTCCAGACGTAAAAAAACCTCTGCAGCCATTTAAGGCTGCAGAGGTTGATTTGTTGTTGTAAAAGCTTTGAGAGGTTTCTGCCCCTAAAAAGATTCGTTTCACGCGGCGGTCAGTTCCGACCTTTCGGCCTGCAGGATCCACTCGCTTTCCAGAATCGCCGACCGTATGTTGTCGGCGGCAAGTGCGCTGAAAGACCGCTCGCCGCCGGATTGGCCAATGTACCAGTGCTTCTTGGCATCACGGGCATCCACGCAAATGCCTGTCCAGTCAGAAGGTAGTGTCACGCCAGTGTGCCCATCATGAATGAGGACATGGCCGGCCACTGCCGTCATGAAGGGCGTGATCATTCCCT